TCTAAGGCCCTACGGCCCTGAACGCTGTTTGTTGGCTGCTTTGGCCGGAGTTCAGACTGTTCGGTAGAGGCTGAATATGGGCGTGAGTCAGATAGACGAAGCAGGACTTTGAGTTCAGAGGCAGAGACTTAAGTCTGCCAGTCGATAAAACCCAGGAAGAAGCTCCGCATGAAAGCCAACCGCTCCTCAGCATTAGCCGAAGGTTTGCAGTGGGCGCGAACTCTGGCGCTCCTGTGCACCTCCCGCTGGGAAGGCCTCCCTCAGTAGAAATCCTCGGTGTTTTAGTGAAACTTGCTACCTTTGCTTCCCAACACTGCAGGGGTGAGGCCGAGCGCGATGATCTTCGGCGCAACCATCAGCGCAAGGAGCCGAGCAGAGGGGGAGCACTCATAAAAAATCCGCAGGGTGGGTGATCGTCAGGTCGTCAGTGACCGCGCGAAGTCGGTAATTAATGTGTCTGACATAGATGAGAATTGAGCCGTGCTTGCGCTTTTGCTGGCGACGCAGACGCCGGCACGCGCATTGCATTCCGCATCATCATACATGCTTCCGTCTTGCTGCTGCAGCCCTGCGCCTACTGGTAGCTGCTGGTTCAACAAGACAGTGAGATAACTCAGAGGAGTTTGGGAAATGCACCTCCCATCCCCCTTACCAGGCGATGGAAAAGCAAAGCCGCTGGCGCCCGGTCTCCCAGTTCACAGGAGACCTCCACGCAGGAGTTGCCGATCCACAAAGCCTCGAAGCATGTCTGACAGTGGGCAGCTACTGCACTTGAACATAGCAGGCGCAGATGAAGAAAACACGAGGAAAAAGATGCCGAGCTTTGGAGGAGAACACGAACATGCAGACACAGATGCGTTTGCTTTGAGTCCTGCGTGTTTATGCAGAGGGGGGGATCAGTTGCTCTCAACACTGAGGAAGCGGCATCGAATTGCTGCTGCGTGGCCTATCCGTGCAAGGCACCATCCCCGAGAGTTGGTGGAGTTTGTCTTTCAAGCTTAAGAGTTTGGTTCGAGGATGTGGCTTTTGCTTTAGAGGGCTTGCCTGCCTTCGTTTTTACCTTCGCCCAAGACTTTCCTTCAGCTCTTCTAAGCCCCCTGGACAATCCGATCTCACCACACACTCCTGCACCCATATCCAGGCGTGGAGTCAAACCTCGTCACTTGCAACTCTGCCGCGGGCTGAAGTGGCTTTCCTTTTCTTAGGTGTTGGCACCTGCTTGGGTAGCGCTTCTACTGGTTTGCATTGGTGATTGTTCACCCTCTGGCTCTGGAGCCATCACCACCGCTGGGCGATACCTCGCGGACAAAAGCAGAAGGGATGTTGAATGACGACGGCACAAACTCGGACCATGACGGAGCCGCACGTGTGGGTTGAGGGTCTGGGAATGTTTCGGTTCAGGAGACATCCACAACTGAACAGTTCGGATGTGCCTTGCCATTCCTTTCACCAAAGTTCGTAAGTATTGTTGGTCGCATTCCACGCGCACGCGAACCGTGGAGACAAGCGCAGTGCTGACATAGCCTACATAGAGAGGGGGCTTATGTTTTGCCCATGGCCGATGGCCCGCAAAGTCAAGCACGTCCTGTGAGGCAATGAGTGCTTGCGAGCAATCGCGGCATGTTTTGCTCCGAGTGCGAATCATGATCAGCTGAGTAGCATGTGAGGCCGTTCAGCATGCTCTGTACTACTAAGCACGCAGGAAAGGTCGACACATGTTTCCTTGTTGTGACACAGATACATCAGCGATACTGAAAGCACCTGGAGTCGAAGTTCGCATCAATCCCAGAAGTTCACCTAGGTGTTGCAAAGACCTTCTGCGCCATGCTTGCCAGTGCTACCCAAAACCGACAACGTAGCATGGTCCTCTTTCTCGGCCAGGAAAGCAAATGCCTGGCCATGGGCCACCGAACTTCTTGGCGAGGATTTCGCCTCGGCTTCCGCTGCTACTGCGCTCTCTGAAGCTGAACAGCCAAGCAACTTCCCTCCAGACGGCCTGGGGTGTTCATGCCAGGAGATGCTCGGGGCGAGGATGGTCTGCGATGAGATCACTTTCAACGAATCTTGGCTGCGTGTTTCTAGGCTGCCTGCAGTTTCCTTACTTGCCAGCATTGATTTAGATGCGGGACGTATGTTGCTGTGCAAGACTGTGTTTCTCGCAGAGTTCGGAGAGTTGGCCGTGAATCTTTCATCATGCTTAGAACCGGCAACATGTCGTTGCTGCATCAACCTGACCTGATTGCTGGACTGCTTCAGTACTGCCTTCCACGACCCGCTGCATGAAAGGCAGCGCTCGGCGCCTGCCGGCCAGAATGGCGGGCAGCTGGCCTGTGTTTGCAGGCCAGTGATGAGGAAGGCTAAACAGTGATTTCGACGCGGCGGTCAGGATTTCGCAGCAGGAATTCAGGAAAATTTAAGGCGGGAAGGGGCGTGGCCAGTGATGTTAGTGCCAGACATCGTGAGCGCATGGCTCGCAAGAGGCTCCTCAATGCTATCATTAGTGTAGCAAAACTGCTCGCAGAGGATTCAGCTACAGTACTGTATCAGTTACAGGTCCTTTTTGGCCAGCCACGGCCACAGCTCCTTGTCAGGCTCGCTTAGTCTCGCATAGGAGCGTGTATAGCACCGGGAGTTCGAAAACAACACAAAGCTGGGACAAACTCTACCATGCAGGCCATGCAGGAGCAGCGGCTGGGTGGCGACGCCGTGACGGCTGCAGCGCTGTGGCCCACGGTCGAGGCCGCACACCTCTGACAGGGCTTCACTCAGGCAGCCCAGGTAAAGCAGTGGCAGTTCTGGGTAGTGTGGCTCTGACTGTTTTGCCCAAAGATCGATGCCAATGCTTTCTACCCCACCTCTCAACCTTTCTCGATTCACCCCCTGTCTGCAAATCTTCAAAACTCTCCGAGTTTCAGGTAAGTACATCTCTGTCTTCGTGCAGACCGACACTGGAAAGCCCATCAATCTGCAAGTCAACTTTCCGATTGCACCCAGGTCTGAGCAAGTTTTGCTAAGCATGGCACGTAATTAGTATCCCGGAAGACCCAATCCGTCGGCAAGCCCCCGAATCCAGTTGAGCGGCCAATTCGCCCCACTGCCACCGCTGCTGCGGGGACTGCTGTCCGAGAGCTCTGAGAGACGCCAGGCAGGTGCTCCGCATGTGCGCTGATGCGAGAAACCTGGGAAGGGGATTTGGGGGAGTATTGTTGAGAGTGGGTGCAAAGTGCATGGAGAGGTGGGGCTTGCGTGGCTTTGGGCTCGTGATACTGCGTCTGCGTCTGAAGGACCAGGTTAATTCAAGCAGAATGCACAAGTGGGCAAAGACATAGCCGCCGCAGCCGCCCTCACCTTCTTAGGGACTTTGTACTATGTTGTAGACTGTGCTTGCTAGACCATGCTGTACTGTACTATACTTATATACTATAACTATGAATTTACCGTGTTTTTTTCTGGGCATCTGGGACGAAAGCCGAAGAGGAGCAGAGGTTACGGGGTTTAGGGGTCCTCCTGCAGGTGGAGAGCTTGGAGCTCCTGGAGGCCCGAGCCGGCCTTCTTTTCCCAAGAGGATGTGAGAAGGGTTTAGGAGTTTAGGGCTTGGGGTTTAGGGTTTAGGGTTGAAAGTATCTGGGCCCTTGTTGGATACAGTTTTTACACATTTTTGCGATAATAAAGCCCTTAAGAAAAATTAAAAGATTATTATTTTTTGAAATAGCCCCAACAGGGAACCAGGTATAATGTAGTAGAAGGTGTTCGTTTGGTACATAACATAAGGTATAAAGCATGGAATATAGAATTGCGCAATATGTCAAATTTACAATCAGTGCAAGTACAACGTGTAAGTTCTAAAACCAGCAATGTAATACATAACCGAGTGGTATAGCTTGTACATAATTACATCATATATAATGTATGCATACTATACCACATGTGTGATATGTGACCGAAAAGACTTTGGTAGAGCATTATGTAGTACAATATAGCAATACGCCGTATGATATGGTATAACAGAGTAGTACTATAGCATAGTAATGGGCTGGCATTCGCAGTTCTGGTGGAGACCGGCTTCAATCTTCCAGTTTCAGTTGGAGATTCATGTGTTGAAGGTCAGGAGCTCCTCATCTGTCCGTTGAGCCTCGCAACCTGAAGTCGAAGGCATAGATTCTTTGGCTTCGGCTTGCGCTCAGCAAACTGGACCTCTTACGCCTGAGATCCAAAAGAACGATCATCGAAAAGGCTTGGACTCGTTCGAGGTTCCCGTGAATGGCTGGGTTTCAAGACTATGCCATGCCTTTTCTGCGTAAAGCCTTAACCACGGATTCCGAGTTGACAACGGCCTTTGCACCGATGCTAAGTAGTCGGAGGGATCTTGAATCCTAGAAACATTCAAGAACCATGTCATTCAGGCCAGCGGCATGCTGTCCGAAGATGCTCTGGCAAACTTCGCCGGAGCATACGCTGGACGGCTGCGAGAGTCCAAGACGTGCCAGCTTTGATCCGAAGTCGGCTGCGAGTCGTCAGTCCTTCACCAGATCCTGCTTGACTGACCGCAGCCTTTCGACAGCACTCGTGACAACATGCCACAGGTGCATGAGTGAAGTGGACGTCTGCACATGCCGCTCGAGACATGCAATGGAAGCCTCAGCCTAAGCCCACACGGATGTCCAGGCTCCCGGCCCTGCAGCAGCTCTCCAGCAGCAGCTGGAGTGGTCCCAGCCCCGAACTTCCCTCAACATCACGAAGCTCCTGCTTTACCGGCAAGCGCTGCACTGCAAAGACGTGGAGAAGCAGAAAATGTATGCGGAGTTTCTGCTTTCTCACTTGCAAGTTGCACCAGCCAGCAAGGACGTATGGCGTCCTGTAAGATGTATGCAATTGCTTGGAGTGGTCATGCCTGGGCCCGGGAAGCCTCCAAAACAGATCACTCCCGGAGGCTAGCCAAGGCCGACGCACAATACGCACAGGCAACACCCGTCCCCTTCAAAACATCCGCTTCCCCGAAGGTCTGGCGGAGGGCTCCGCGCGCCTACACCTTCCGGCCTTGGAGCGGAGCTTTAGCCGCTCGGCTCAGGCTCAGGCGTTAAAGCATGTGTATGTATATATATATATATATTTATTAATTAATTTATTTATATTTATATTTATATTTATATTTATATTTATATTTATTTATTTATGTGTTTATTTATATGCATGCATAAAATATACAATATATAATATAGAATATAATATATATATATATATTGTATAGTATATAGTATATCACATATATAGTATATGATATATAGTATTAAGTATATAGTGTATAATATATAGTATATAATATACAGTATATAATATAGAATAGATAGTTTATAGTATATAATATATAGTATATGACATATAGTATATAATATATAGTATATAATATATAGTATATAGTATATAGTATATGGTATATAGTAGATAATATATAATACATAGTATATAGTATATAGTATATAGTATATGATATATAGTATATAATATATATTATATAATATAAAATATATAATACATAATATATAGTATATAGTATAGGGTATATAATATATGATATACAATATTCAATATATATTATAAAATATATAATATATAAAGTGCAATGTATTATGTATAATATGTAGTATATAATATATAATACATTATGTGTATGTATATATATATATATGTGTGTGTGTGTGTGTGCGTATACATATATAGATCTATAGAGCCCCGGTATGTCCAAGCTCCTCTGATCCGCCGGCCCGAGCCGGGGAGCGAAGCTCTCGTTCTGAGGTCTCGGACGCCACTTCACAGAAGAGGCACTGGAGGCCGATGCAGCGAAAAGCAGACATCTGGCGCAGTTTTTTAAGTCCAAGACTCGAGATATGGGTCGTCCCACAAATGTTTCTAGTAGGTCCAAACCCAAGAAGTGCGGAAAAGCACTTGCAGCATCTAGCACAATGGTGGGTATGCCACTATGCATGTCTGTATGGCCTTCATGTACCCACCCCTCTTGCGAAGTTGTGCTGCTGCAAACCGCTTCTTGTTCGGTTTGCTGTGAAGTTTGCATGCAGAAAACGTCTTTCGTCTTTGACTCCAACCTCTTTCCTTCTTCGCCCCATAATTAGCCCTTGACTTTTTCGAACCCCCCCCCCCCACCTTCATGCCACGGTCTTTCGTGACGGCGACACTGAGATCAGGCATTGTGCTTGGCCCCATCGCCTTGCTGGTTACCGACCGCACGCTTCCGGTCGCGTGAGGCTCCGTCAAATCCGTGTAGGATTTCGCGTTCTTGCTGGCGGTGCCTAGGCAGGGCCTGGCGGCCTGGTCGCCCAAAAGAGTGACGAGGGAAACTGTTGTGTGGGGCGGCAGCTTTTCAAAGCTTGCTGCCCAGAGTCAAGGGCTTTCGAGGCCCATAGTCAGGGGCTTCTTCGAGATGCACGGAGCGCTCTGAGCTCCTGCCAGGCGCTGCTGGCATCTGAGAGCCTCGCCGCTTCAGCGACGGACGCCAGGGATCTCTTAGCGTCGGGGCTTGGAAGAGCATCGGTATCTAGAGAGCTGCCGCAAAGAAGACGGGACCTGCAAGGGTCGGTCTCCCGATAACGCGTCCTGAACCTGTTTTAGGGGCAAGGCCGGCCAAGCACATAGAGAAGTCTTTCAGAAGCGCCCCATGGGCTGTTGCTGAGAGCTTTGGGGCCCCTGGAGGGCCCCTTTGTCGATCTGTTTTCGTCTCTGAGCGAACTGCTGAAGTTTGGGGCTATTTGTTGGTGCCTTTGAGTGCTCTTGCGCACAGGAGCCTGTGGCTGCCGCGATCGCTGCCTGGGCTGGGAGCCACAATCGGAACTTGTGATTCAAGTGAGGCTTTTCGACAGATGTCACAAAATGAAGATGTACTTTGGGCTTGTGAACGAGGCTTCTGGATTTCAGGCTGGGTCAGTGAATCACGACGGCGAGAGTCAGATGAGCCCTTATCCATTGATGCCATGAGGTCTGTATCGATAGGGTTGTCAAGTCTGCCTCGCTGCTTCAAAGACTTTAAGCACGGGTGGGAGCCGTCTTGCTGAAACTTGCGCACACGGCGGCAGCCTCCCACTGCAGGCTTCGCAGACACTGAGTCGGCATCGTTTGCCTCCACGCCGCTTCGAGCGAAATGGTTTGTGCTTGGCATGGACTATCACTTGGAAATGCAGCTCTGTCGCTGCATGCTTAACTTTCCTAGACCGCCGCATGTCTTCGCAGGAATTCTTGTTGCTATTTCCAGCATGTCAACTCACTGCAGTCATCTGCAGTCTATACTCTCAACAGGCTAGATGCCCGCGAAGTTCAGCATTGGACAACGTTCCCTGACGCCCGACACCCCGACTATGCAGGTTACACCGCCGGCTTCGGCACAGCGGAGGCCGCTGCTCCATGTGGGACCTTTATCGTGGTACTCCCTGAACACTCTCAGTGTCCTCATCTATGCGCATTGTCCTTTCATGTGGCACATGCCTTCCCAGACCCCAGCTGTTCATAGGAACTCCGCATGCATGCCTTGGTGTTCTGCTACATCGATCACCTCACATGGTCCAGCAGATATGGTCAGTCGCTGCAGAAAAGGAAGCTGGCCTCTGCAAAGTTGTTGAAAGGTCGGGGCTCCCCTGCCTGTGTTCGTCGAGCACGACCGGAGCCAACATGCTGAACGTGGGGCACCCAGCAGCTGGATCACCCAATTCCGAACACCGGTCGCCACTGCACCTGGCCCAGGTGGAGTTTTTCAGAGGCTGCTCAGGGGCGTGGCAAGGACAAGCAGCGGAGCCCAGCCTATCGAAACATGGACCGGCGAGATGCCGACTAATATTAGTGCCGGAATTGTGTTCATATCACAAAATGATTGATGTTGGAAAAATTAAACAGTTTGAAGCCGAATACAGATAATTTCATGGCTACAATTGAATCAAGATATCGACAAGAATAAATTTCTCATACCTTTGGCCGCGCATAGCACGAAAAGAACTAGATATTATTTCGATAATGTATTGGCTTCACAATTTCCTGATATCATTTCAATAATTAGATTAAATTCTACCGACTCTTGGTGAAAAATTATTAGATCTTGGATTGATTGGAAACGAGAAAGATATTGGATTTCATAATATTGAAGCTTATTGATAAAATATGATCTTATATATAATTAGTATTTATATTGATATAAGATTTCTATTTTTATGTATATATAAGATGAATAATTCAGGAAAATAATATTTTGAAATTATATGAGAAATTATTTCTAATTTATGGCATTGATCGAATAAAATATTATATTTATTTATTTATCTTCTCTATAAATTAAGAGCTTGCAATAATTCATTTTTTTCGTATGATTATTCTTCGGATGAATAGTTCTTATATATTTCAAGAAAATTTACGATTTTGAGAGAAATGTGAAGTATGATATCTATTACGATGAATTTATGATCTTAGAAATTTAGTCTTAAAATATATTTTATTATGTGATCTGGAAAATATTATATTGTAAATTTTGATCATTTTTAATTTTCTGAAAATTTTGGAAATTTATTTATGAATTATTTGAAGATTTCATATTTTCTCGAATATATTGGAGGATATATGAAAATAGTATTTTTAAATGATTTTATATTTCTTGTAATTATTTGATAATTATGTAGGATTTAGTTTTATTTTCAAATATAAATCTAATGAAGGATTGAATATTTGAAAGTATATATTTGGCAATCTAAATTTATATTTTAAATTTT